AGGAAGCTGAAATTTTATGGTAATGTCTTCTGTCCACATACAATCCTGCAATTTTAAATTCAGTTTCCCGCGCGTTCGCGTATCACTTACGGCCCCGTGGAAGTTTCGGTGGGGAAAATTATTTTCTCGGGGGTCGCGGAAGTTGAGAATCTGAAATTTTAGGGTGATCTCTTGTACAAACGTACGACCTCGCAAATTTGGACTCACCCTTCACGCACCCCTGGGTACCAAGTGCAGCCTTGCGAAAGTTTTGACAGAGAAATTATTATCTCGTGTGCGTGATATTTTTAGTGAGAAATTCCGCAATTTAAGAACCAGAAAACATTTCAACTATTTTTGCACAGACCAAAGTGCAAAGCAATGAAAATCATTAGCAGACAATCGTTCGGTGAACAGAATTGCACAAAACGCATGATCGCATCGGCTGCCCTGGTGCGTGCCGCTAATTATTTGTTATATAATAATGATTTATACATCACAACTGTCGTACTGACGTATTTAGTTATAGCGCTTCGTTAAGACTTAATGGACCGAAATGCCTTGATCTCAGTTAAATAATTTTTCACGTACTATTAGTCTTAGTTTATAATTTTCAATTATTTCCAATACGTTAGCTGTTATCTAACAATGAGGCATATTGGAAATATTGAAAATGTGAAATAGCGTTTGTAGTTCTGCTAAAGTCTATTAAACATTTTAGCATTCAATATCAAATATTTAATATTTCATAAGTTCTTTTTCATATGTTCTTTCGTCTGCTATTCCTCTTCATCCATTTTTCTTTTCCAGCATTCTCCAGATGATTCGTAAACTGTTGCACGGGATATTAAAGTATCGAAGATCAATAATTCCCCCTTTATTTGATTATCTGTTGCGCTATTTTCTTCTAAAATACTTCCATTGTTAAGCCAATTTGTGGGATACAAGCAAAAATATGCTTCAACGAAGGGAAAGACAAAGTTGTGAACAAAAAGGGTTTCTTCCTTAGAAAAATAACTGAATTTAGAATTGCTATGGTTACTGTCATGTTTATTACTTTCTAGTCCCAGATAATTTGTATGATCTGTTTCGGCGTGGATGAGGGACTTGAAAAGCAATCGGAAGATGTAATACTCTTTTCAGTCAAAGACCAACGACGAATATTTTTTTTTTGTAATTGGTATTTTGATGGGAAAAGTTCTTTAGACAATTGTTGTTTCATCATCATGTTTCTTTTCATCACTGACGCAGCTGACAGTTTCTCCGTTCTTTCTTTTGGGCCTTTTTCTTCCTAATAATTCCGTGTACTATTTTAGTTCGGATCCTTCCTCCCCACTGACGGTTTCCTCTATGTTCTTGTTACACTGCACGGGTACCATTCTGTAATCCGTTTCGTCCATCTGTTGTCTCTTATTCTTTCCAAATGTTCCTTCTTTTAGTAAATATAATGCAAAAAAATATTCTTTCGATGTAAATCAAAAAAAAAAAGTTGCCTTTTTTCTAGAGGAGAAGCAGCTAAAATTAACAATATGAATGAAGATTAGGGCCAATGACACGTCCGCCTAGTTAATGTCAATAGGAACGTCAATTAGCGTTTCTGGTCCGGAATGTTGTCATCCACGGGAATAATATCCTTTTCGTGTTTCAGTTCTAGATTGTTTTAAATCCATATTCTTATGCGTTTTGTGCTGTCTAGCATTAGCATAAAATGCATATTGTCACGGGGTTGTTTGTTTGTGTGTGTGTATGTGTGTGTGTGTGTATGTGTGTGTGTGTGCGGGTGTGTGTGCGGATGTGTGTGCGGGTGTGTGTATGTCCAAGTGCATTTTGTCCAGTTTTTTCAACTTGGGGACCAGTAAAGCTAGGCAACTGAAATTTTAGTAGAGTGTTCCCTGCACACGTGCGACTGCGCAAATTTGAATTCAGCTTACCCGTGCCAGCGGGTAACGTGTACGGTCTCGTAAAAATTTTGGCGGTGAAAATTAATGTCTTGGGAACCACGGAAGCTAGGAAGCTGAATTTTTATAGGTTTGTCCCCCTACGCACATGTGACATAGAAAATTTAAATCCAGCTTTCCCATGCGCTTGGATATCACATACAGCTTTGTGAAATTTTGGCAGGAAAATTAATATCCCGGAAACCGTGAAAACTGGGAAGCTGAAATTTAACGAGAATGTTTCCCGCTCATGTACAACCCCGTAAATTCAAAATCAGTTTTCAGGCAAAAATTACTGTGATGGAAACCATAAAAGTTAGAAAGCTAGAGTTTTGGGGCGATGCGGCCTGGCAGAATCAAATTCAGCTTTAACACGCCGGAGTCTCTAGTGTGGCTCCACTATAGTCTTGATGGGGAAAATTATTATCTTGAGAACCAGAAGAGGTGTGAAGCTGGAATTTCAGGAGGATGTTTTCTACCTTTGCAGATATCTTACAAACTCAAATTTAGCGCCCAAGTGTGCCGATGTCTTACGTACGACTACGTGAGAGTTTTGATGCGAAAGTCACTAGCTCGGAAGCAGGAAAACTGGGCCGTCGATGTGTTCCCAGTCCACGATTTCATATTCATCTTTCGTGTACCGGCACGTGAAATTTTTAGTAGGAAATTCCTCTGCTTATGAGCCAGATAGCAGATCTCTATTTCCCCACACACGAAACTGTAAAACAGTTACATTTTTTGTAGGAAAACGCCCGGTGGACGGAACTGCACAAAACGCATAATTGCACCGGCTACACTGGTGCGCGCCGCTATTTGTTTATTTTTTTTCTTTTTGTCGAGATGAGCAGAATCCATATTTCTGCTCCTCTCAACAACTTCTTGTTGATTTTCTTTTTTGTGTGGAATAACTGCTTGCTGGCTGGTTTCCTTGGCCTCATAACTGATTGTTTTTCCCAGCGGAATTGTGCCGGCTTGCTGCTTTGAGGATACAGAGTTAACGCATTTCGCTCCTTTTCTATGTTTTACTGAGGAAGCATTATTGCTAGAGCTTTACCGTTCTGCTCTCGGCACACTTCTCATTTTTATTAAGTCTGCTGCTTCAGCAAACGTTTCCATTCGTTGTTTTTTGGAAAAGTGAAAGAACTGATTTGTTGCCCATCCTATTGCATTCGCTTGCAATTGTCGTGGATCATTGAAATTCCAGGATTCAAAGCTCACGGCTTTCCCACTGCTCTTTTGACTGGAGCTGGCCACTGCGCTGGCAGCCTTGCTTGGCTTCTGGAATGAAACCCTAGCTGCGTTGTCTGGGTCTTCGCTGTTTTTTTATCCTCACCTGTTGGGGAACCATTTTCTGCATTTCCCCAATGAGGGTGTTGTTCATAGAAGATATTTTAGCAACGAGCTGCATAGGTTTTTTCTAAAACTAGCATCATCGGATGGAATCTTGTAACAAGACAATTCGGTGTGTAAGCATCTTTCGGGACTGAACGAGAAGGCACCCGTGAATAACGTGTCCTGCATAATGGTGTTCAGGCGTGCCTATGCCGTATTTACTGCTAGAATGATGAAACTGAAGCGATTCTTGTTCGATGGCATCTACAGCCGCTACAGAAATGCGCCTTTGTCAACTAATCTTACCAATCGGACCGGTTCATCAGGGACCAGTCGCGCACTGTCCATTCCTAGTACTACCGAACGGCTAGGCCGGCTGTCTGCGAGCCGCCATGCTGCTCTAACTGATATTGATGCTGCTTCGGATGCATTTGTTTACTGCTTTCTGTTCGTCTTTGTGCTTGTTTGCAGCATTCTACTGTTAATTTATCTCATATTCATAAACAGCACCTGGACATTGGGCTTGATTCCACCGATGCCTCGCTAGGTATTACCAGGACATCAAATCGCTTTTTCTTATTTCTGCATGTCTATTTGTTTATTTTTTTGCGACCAGGACTTATTAAGGCAACTCAGAGTTTATTACTTTTTTGTCTTCTAGTTTAGCATGATGCTGAAGCGAAAATATCCTGATTCTTTAGCTATGAAGTTTAATGGAAAGTCAACTTCTGGGTTTTTTGAAATTCCAAAGTGCTGATTAGTCACCGGAAAAAGGTATTTTGCATCTTTCCAGAATTTGTTCTGTCTATTGCATGTATTGCTAATCACAACGACTTGCATTCAGTTCTACGAGAAGCCCAAATTGACCTAGTGAAACAGAGGTTAAAAATGTGCTTGATTGCTAATTATGCGTTTTTGCTATGCAGCGCTGCTACAGCCAGCAAAAACTCATATTATCGAAAGGTCGTCTGTATGTGTATGTGTGTATGTGTGCGTGTGTGTGTGTGTGTGTGTGTGTTCAGAAGCGAGTAAACTTTGTCACCCACTTTCAGCTCAGCAACCAGGAAAGCTGGGAAGCTGAAATTTTGGGTACATATTCCTAATCCATGTGTCATCCTCTCGTTTAAAATTTTCGCTCATACTCGCCTAGAGCTCGCTACGGACCTCCGGAAAAAATATGCAGATTTCTTTGGCGAAAAACGATTTCGCGAATCAGGCAAGATGCAAAGCTGAAACTTTGCAGGGACTAGGGCAGGGTTTTGTCTATAGCTGATTTCAATTTATCTATTATTTATTTTCATTTCAACTAAATTCACAAAATTTCGATGCATATTGTCCGAGATGTTCTCAAAATTCCAGCACACGAGTTTCGGCGTTATTTATGCAAATACACATAAATGCAGAGAAGCATACTTGCCCACTCACAGATGTGACATAATCTCTGTGTTTCATGCTAAGTGTAGGATTTGATAATTTGTTTTGAAACAAAAAACCATAAATTAAGAATTTGAAATTTGTTCTAAGAACAATATCATTTTCAAAAAGA